TTTTTTTTTTTTTGTCTTTTGGAGACAGGGTCTCCCAGTGTGGAACTGACACCATTTGCATCTGTCCGGCAGCCACCTGGGAATAATGGCAGGGTAGACTCAGCTGGCCTGGGACTCACTATGTAGACTAGGCTGGCCTCAAACTCAGAGATCCACCTGTCTCTGTCTCCTGATGCTGGAATTAAAGGCACCTGACCCAGGTCTACTTGATATTGATGTTTCTCCTCTTGATACTGATGTTTCTTGATATTGATGTTTCTTCTCTCCCCCTCCCCCTCAAGACAGGGTCTCCCTGCAGCTCCAGCTAGCCTAGAACTCCCTATGTAGACAAGGCTGGCCTCAATTTCACAGAGATCCACTGCCTTTGTCTCCCAAGTGCAGGGATTAAAGGAATATGCTACCACACCCGGCTGTCTCAACTCTCTTTAATATGAATTTCAGATTACTCCAGAAGCTCCCCTTCCTCCACCCATATCCACCACATTAGTTTTCCAATTGCAATTAAAAGAACAAACAACTACAGAATTTAGTAGTGTTGAATAACAAATATTTACCACCACCACCCCCCCCCAGTTTCTGTGGGGCAGAGAATCTGGGGGCTCCCTTGGCTCTGGGCTCCTCACAGACTGTGGTGAAGACATTTCCAGGGTTGACTGGGGAAGGACCCTCTTCCAGCTTGCTCAGTGGATGCTGGCAACGGCCATTATTCCCAGGTGGCTGCTGGACAGATGAAGATGGTGTCAGTTCTTCCTCACTAGACACTGACTGGAGGCTACCCTCTGCTCCTCATACTCCGTGGTGGAGAACATGCCTCACATATAAGAAGCCTGTGTTCTATCTCAACACCACAGGGAAATAAAACAGACCCATACATTCTTTGACATCCATTTCTTCAAAAGCAGAGCTTCTTGGGGGACAGGGAGATGACTCAGTGAGTAAAGCAAGCATGAGGACAACGGTACGGATCCCTAGCTCCCACTTGAAAGCCAAGTGGGCATGTACAGGAGGCAGACACTGTGACAGACCTTGCCTCAATATGTAAAGTGGAAAGCAATAGAGGAAGACACCTAATCTCAACCTCAGGGTTCTATTTGCACTTGCATATGCACACATGTGCACCGACACACAAGACTGTGCATACAAACATCACACACAGAGAACACACACACACACCAAAAAGAATACAGCTTTTCTTTGAGTGTATCCCGGGCTTAGTGACTCACTTCTAAGGAACAGAATATGGTAGGGATGATGGACTAAGTCACAAAAGGCATCCCTGTGCTCTGTGGGGAAACACTTAGAGAAGATGGCTGCCATGTTGTGAAGACACTCAAGCAGCCTCTAAGACCAGTGCTCACAGCAAAGTCCTGAGCCATCTTATCAGAGCACATGTCACCAGGCATGTTGGCACATGCCTGCAATCATAACACTTGGGACACAGAAATAGGTGGATTAAAAGGTAAAAGTTCTCTCTGTGAGTTCAAGGTCAGCCTGGTCTACATAGTGAGTTCCCAGGACAGCTGGGGCTACAGGGAGACCCTGTCTCAAAAAAAAAAAAAAAAAAAAAAAAAAAAAAGGACATGGGTGTATTTTACAGGCAAGGAAATTACAGCTCAGAGATCACAGATGGTAATTGAACTTCCCAGGGCTACACAGCTGTCAAATGGCAATGCCAGGCTTTTATGCAGCTTGTTGTTCCTTGTCCTTGTCCCTGTGTCTGTGGTAGTCCAGGAGCTCCATCTGGCTTCTCCATCCCTTCTGTGGAAAGCCCCCAGGCCTGGCTCCAGAGAACAGGGAATTCTGTGCTCTGGCTCAGCTGCAGATAAAAGCCCCAAGATGGGCCTGGGGAATAGTTCCTGCCTGACCTCAAAGCAACACTAGGCTCCCATCACCATATGAATAATGCATGGTTCAGGTTTGCATGCACTTTTTCTGGGAAGACATGAACAAATGTTTACTTACCCCAGATAGAACACCAGACAGACCAAAGAAACCATTCCACCCAAGTGTAGCTTGGTAAACCAATGAATTTATTGGGCTTGCTGACAGAACTGTGGGTGAGGGGTTACTTACAGAAGCATGGGTGACCCCAAAACAGCTGCATCACAGAAAAGTCTCAGGCTAGCATGGATGATGACTTCCCCATGGCTGCATAGACAGGGTGTCTCCTTCAGTTAACCTTCTGTCTTCTACACACTCTAGCACCTCCAAAGACCACAAACACCCGGGGAAGAATTACATAAACCTGGAAGAGAGGATCAGGAGGGAGTGGCTGGAATCTCAAGTGAGGGTGTAAGGACCTTCCCACCCTTTCTATTAATTAAACTGTCAACTCGCCCTTTCTTGAAGGTCTCTTGTGGGTAGTCACAGCTGCTCTAATGAAGCGGTAATGTCTTTTCTTTTTTTTGCTCTTTTTGAGACAGGGTCTCCCTGTATCTCCAGTTGTCCTGGAACTCACTATGTAGACCAGGCTGGCCTTGAACTCAGAGACCCACCTGCCTCTGCCTCCTTAGTGCTGGGATGGGATTAAAGGCTTGTGCCACCATGCCCAGCTATGGCTCTTTTTAAAAAAATAATTTTGTTCATTATTTTTATTTTATGTGTATGAGTGTACTGTCTGCATGTGTATAAGTGTACCTGTGACATGCAATGCCTGTGGAGCTCAGAAGAGAGTGTTGGATTCCCTGGAACTGGAGTTATAGATGGTTGTTAACAGCCATGTAGATGCTGGAAATTGAGCCCGGGTCCTCTGCAAGAGCAGCCAGTGCTCTTAACCTCTGAGCTTTCTCTCCAGCCCTGGTAATGGCTCTTATGCTTACAGGACAGTAGCCTATTAGACCCAGAGACCCTGGGGATTCATCTCCATTATGACTGGGCAGTTGTCTGAGAATGAGGCCATTATTTCTCTTTCTTTCCATCCTTTCCTCCCTTCCTCCTTTCCTTCTTCTTTTAGACAGGATCTTACTATGTAGCCCAGATTGGTCCAGGACTCTCAATCTTCGTGCCCTCAGTCTCCTGGATAACAGCTATGGGCCATGATGCTGGCTAAGGCTGCCATTTCTCCTGCACTCTTTTAGATGGGAGTCTGGACTGTGGAGGACAAATACAGAGCTTTAGAACCCTTAGTAGAAAATACAAGTGACTTCCGGGTATGGTGGCGCACGCCTTTAATTCCAGCACTCGGGAGGCAGAGGCAGGTGGATCTCGGTGAGTTCAAGGCCAGCCTGGTCTACAGAGTGAGTTCCAGGTCAGCTGGGGCTATAGGGAGACCCTGTCTCAAAAAGACCAAAAAAAAAAGAGAGAGAGAGAGAGAAAAAGAAAATGTAAGTGAATTTGGGCTGGGGCTGTCGTTCAATTGGTAGAGTGCTTGCCTAGCATGCATGAAGCTCTGGATTCCATGTCCAGCATCACAGAAACTGGGTATGGTGGTGCATGCCCTTCATCCAAGCACTTGAGCAATGAGAAAAGTAACTAATACTTTTTTTTTCTTAGCATTTTTTTCCCTAAATAAACCCATTTAAAAGAAATGTGTGAGGGCTGGAGAGATGGCTCAGCGGTTAAGAACAATGACTGTTCTTGCAGAAGACATGGGGTTGAATCCCAGCACCCTCATGGCAGCTAACAACTGTCCCTTAACTCCAGTTTTGGGGGATCTGACAGCTTCTTCTGTCCTCTGTGGACATTGCACAACATGGGTGCACTTACCTACATGCAGGCAATACAAGTATACACATAAAATAGAATAAAAAATTATAAATATCTTTTAAAAAAAGAAACGTGTGTCACTATCAAAAATGAAAGGGCAATGTCTAGCCCATAAATCAACAAATGCATAGAAAACAACACACTGTAGCTCAGGAGCATTGGCCGTTTGAGGTGGATCTAAAGGTCTTCTCTCCAGGCTGTAAGGGGCTAGCTAAGCCAGTCTTAGAGAGATGGTAAAATCAGTTGAGCAGCCAGTTGAAAAGCCAATGAGGCCTTCTCTTCTTCAGAGAGAATTGCTGTGTGTCTCGGAGCAAGGGAACACCCTCTCTATGTCTCCCTAGCCTTATCTTCTAGAATTCACCAGTGGTTCCCATCTCAAGTGTCAGGAGACTCCCCTGCAGCCAAGCAATTTTCACCGGCCCCCTCCCAGGTTAGAACCCTCATGGGAATACCTAGGAAGCAGCTGCCCAGCCTGGTGACCGTGGCTACACAGGGAGGCCCAGCTTCAGGATGTCTCCCCTGAGACTAGCTGAGGTCTCTCCAACCCTCAACCCCTGCAAGACTTTGTCTCAGTCCCTCCAGCACCCTGGGGAAGTAGGTACAGGGCCAGACTGACCCAGAGCAGACCCAGTGGGACTCCAGCAGGCTGGTGAGCTCACTCTCATGCTCTTAAATATGATATTGGTTAATGAACTTCCAGCCCATCCCATAGGAAGGACCCTGGGCATATTGTGCCAGATGTCACCATGGAGGGCAGTGGCAGTGGCTCAGAGGAAATGGATTGAGAGAGGGGAGCAAGACTTCCTGCGTTTGTGGGGGAGAGAGCTGGTGCCTGGGATGTGGGCTCAACTGCAGGTGTGATACATGCTGCCTCTGTCACCTTCAGTAGGTGGCTTAGCCTCTTAGTATTCAAAGTATGGTTCCCACACTGTCGACACCACCTGGGAGCTCATGAGAAAAGCAGAACTTCAGGCTCAGACCAACTGGTGCAAAATCTACATTGTGACACTCTTCCCTGGGTGATTTTTCAGGCATGCGCCTGTGAGTGCCTCAGTTCTGCATCTATAGAATAGGGGCTGAGTTAAGGCATCTGCAGAGTTTAATGAAGTTACCAGCATATGGTTTAAGTACTACCTACATGTTTGCCACTGTTTTTTTTTTTTTTTTTTCCAAAACAGGGGCTCATGTAGCCCAGGCTGAACTCAAACTCTTTTTTTTTTTTTTTTTTTTTTTTTTTTTTCCAAAACAGGGTCTCATGTAGCCCAGGCTGACCTCAAACTCTGTATGTGGCTCAGGATGACACCGAAACTCCTGCCTCTACCTCCCACTTGCTAGGATTATAGGTGTCACCATATTCTGTTTATGTAGCTCTGTGCATGCTAGGCACATGCTCTGCCAGCTGAGCCACATCCTCAGCCTGCTACTATTTTTATTGTTGTGTGTTACCACTGTTACCTTCAGCGAAGAAGTCTGGGAAGGACAAGGGCTACTGCTAGCCCTCAGCCCTTCTCACCACTCCAGCACTGGGCTGCATGAAACCCAGCATAAAGATGAGGAAGATGAGCCTCAGAGAGGGGCAGTAGCTGGCCCAAGATCTAAATGGGGAGGCCGAGTCTTCCCAAACCTATCCAAACCTGTTACTAAGGTGACCTGTAAGTGGATGGGAGTTCTTTGCCTGTGCCTATCACTTGATGCATCCCCAGCTGTGTGCCTCACACCTTGCTGTTGTCTCCCACTTCTCAGATGAGTAAATGTGAGACACTGAGAGGTTAGGCTGCTTTTCCAAAACCCTCTAGCAGGAGTGGCTGGATTTGAAGCCAGGTAGTCTCATTTCTGTATCATGCTTCATGCCACTTGCTGTGTCCTTTCCTCCATCGTGTCCCTGCTTCCTGTCATCCTGTTGCCAGCCCCAGCTCTGGGGTTCCAGACCTAGACCACTAATGAGCTCTTGGCCAACCTGAGGCTGGAACCACAGAGGCCACTGAAATTGGCTTTGTGGGAAGAACTTGTTTCCTTCCACTCTGTACTCCCAACTATGGTCCACAGGGCAGGAGCCACTGGGACAGCCACGGGCAGATCTAGAAGCAGTAACTGTTTAGAGCCCCCTGGCTCTGACCTCCAGGACAGCTGCTTGGAGCCTGGCTTCCAGAGACATTCTTGCTCAAACCCAGTTCACCACCTCAGCCTGGCCTCCTTCCAGCTAGGAAGTAGAGCTAGCCCTGGAGATCTATCATTGGGTTATTCATTCAATATACATTTATTTAGCACCTACTGTGTACAGGGGCTGTTCAGTGGACTCAGTAGTGAAACGTCCTAGTCCTAAGAGAGACCAAAAGTTAATCACACACTCTTGGAAAATACTCATGCTCACAATGGACAGGTGAGTCCACTTTTGGGTGGTGAAATAGGAAGAGCCCTCTTGAGCAAGGAGCATGAAAGTTGAGATTAGGAGATGCCATCCATGAAAGTGAGGAGAGAGAACTGGCATGGGTCAGAGATGGGAAACAGCTTGGTGCACTGGATGGAGGGAAAAACTCTTAGCAGGGCTGGGATGGAGAGAGGGTGTTCCCATACCTCAGCTTGTGTGTAGGGCCTTCCATGTCTTCCAGAGGGCTCTGCTTGAGTCTGGAGAAGTTACCAGCCCACAAGCCTCCCAGTTCCCAGGAGGATATCCTAGCCTGATCTACCCCAAGTTGCCCCTTCCTGTCTTCCTGAGTACCTTGAACTCCAGAGCCCTTGAAGGACCCACCTTCATTCCTCTTGCACGCCCCAGGTGGCCACCAGGGAGTGTTCTCTCACTAGACTCCTTAGATTCCTTTCTTGAGGGCAGTCACGCCTTTCCCCAAATCCTGCCTCCACAGGGGCTTCAGCCCTCTGGAGCTTCAGGATCCTCATGTCAAATGGGATAACACATTTTTATTTGAAGTTATTTTTAAGATGTGTTGAGCGGGCCATATAGGGGCACGGAACTTGGTGGGAGCCTATTATATTGTGTTAAAAATAACACACCCCCAGCCCACAGCTTTGGGAACAGGGACCTTATTTGTCTGGCTTATGGCCAGCAGGAACATGGTCGGTGCAAATGGGCAGATTGATGATGATGGGTGAGTTAGAGAAAGCATGAACGACCAGCTCCTTTCTCAAGCAAGGTCATTTCACTATGCGCGCCAGCAGCCTCCAGGTGGTATACCACTCTCCTACCTGCTACGCGCCTCAGTTTCTCCTCCGTCGTCGGGGAGGAGAGGAGAATCAGGGGCTGGGGAGACTCTAGCGGAAAGAGGACGCCGCTCGCCGGCCCAGAGAGACCTGCGCCCAATTGGCGGCCCGACGCCGGCCCCACCGCCCTCCAACCCCTAGCGCCACTAGCAGCGCAGCCCCAGCTCAGCCACCAGGCCCCGAGCGCACGTGACCCCGCCCCGCCGTCCCAACGCGAGCTCCCATTGGCCACTCCGGAGGAGCCCGCCCCTTACTAGGGCGGAGCCGAAGGCGCCCCGCCCGCAGCAGATCTGGGCTCCGTCGTCCCGACTGTGCGCGGCGGCCGACCCGGCTGGGGGAGTCGGTTAGTGGGGCTGCTGCGGGCGGATCGCGCCGGGTCGCGGGCCGCGGCATGGTGAGCGGGGCCGGCTGGGCCGGCGAGAGGGAAGGGCCGGTCGGGATGGGCCTCGATGGCCGAGGGCGCGGCGGGGAAGGGCCGGGGGTGCGGCCTGGGGAGGGTGGGCGCCGGGGACGCCGCGCGCGGGCGGGGGCTCTTTGTCCTCCACAGCGGTTGGGACAAAGGCGGAGGCGGTGGGGGGGGTGTGGAGCGGAGGCTGCTTGACGGGACGCCGGCCCCCTCCCCCACCGTGCCGGTCTGCTCCGCAGCCCGCAGTTCCGCGTCTTGCGCGGGTTCCCGGTGCTGCCCAGGACACTGAATGCCAGCATCTACGGGGTTCCCGGCAGCCCCCCGTGTGGTCAAGAAGGAATGAGGGGGGGCGGGAGCCCAGGGAATGTCTGGCTCCTGTTTTGTGGGTGGGGAAACTGAGGCCGAGACGCAGCGTTCGGTGCCCGGTCCCGTCGGCAGTGACTGCGCGGCGTGGGCATGACTGGGTGTCGTGGTCCTGGGTGTCGTGGTCCCGTGTCTCACCCCTCCCTGCTCAGGCGGACTTGAGTTGTCTCTCCAGCTGTAGCCCCTGAACCGGCCCCTGCTTCCTTTAAGCCTCGCCTTGCTCCTCCGGAGAGTGGGGGAGACGCGGCGTCGCCCGGTAGGGTTAAGTGAGAGGGTGCGTGGAGCGCGCCTGGCACCGTGCCTGCACACCGCCCGCGCTTGGCACACGGGAGCTGCTGGGGCGCTTGTCATCCCTGAGTACCCACTGTCAAATCCTCACCCAGACTAGCTCCCGAGGGGACTCACACCAGCACTCGGCCTCTAGGCATAGGAGAGGAGGACAGAGGTTTAAAATCGAGAATTTAGGATTCAGACTGCCTGGGTTAGAATCTCTGGCACATCTACTTTTAAGCTGTGTGACCTTGGGCAGTTGATTTAACTTCTCTTAGCTACAGATTGTCAAGTGGGAAGAGTAATAACTCTAGGGTTGTTTTGAGGCAGAAATTTTGAAGAAATCTGCTTGAGCTGTTTAGCTCAGAGCCCAGCACAGAGGACTTTTTTCAGCATCTACCATTATCTTACCAAAGATGTGTGGCCAAATGGTTAGACCCAGAATGACCTGCAGGCAAGAACCTCAGGGACCACAACTGACTTTAGGGCAGTCCCAAACTTCTCTGCCCTAGCTTCCTCTTCTGCCATGGGAACCTGGGGGCCAGCTGTGTCATCTGAGCAAATTTCCCTTGTAGAGGGGAATGTTGGGGGACAATAGACACAGAGCCTTAGTAGTAAATGTCAGCCCTTCGGGTTTTGGTGATGAGTTAGAGGAGACCTGATTCTCATGGATATTATTAGTTAAGGGACTCCAGCCCTGAACCAGCTCCCTAACCTCAGACCACTCCCAGGTCCCTGTGTACAAGTCTGTATGCCTGCCCTAGCAGGACAGATTGCAACCTGAGTTCAGGGCAGGGGCAAGGTGTACCAGAGGAGCCTGTTAGATCTAAGCCCAGGCAGGCCCAGCTGTCTCTATGCATGCTTGGGGCAGGGATGGGGCAGCAGCAGAGAAGCAGAGCCATAGGAAACTGGGGCCCCATACACACTGCTGACCCCTCACTCATCCAGCAAGGCCAAGAGGGGAGGGTAGGTCACAGCCTGGCAGCCTTCATGAGGAGAGGCCCAGGACCACCTCAGAACAGTCACTATTCACCTCACCTCCCTACTCCTGCTGTGATCATCCCATGCTACAAGTGAGGAAACTGAGGCACTGGTTGTTTACATGGCCTGGCTTAGAGTGAAGAGCCACAGAATGGGATGTCAGCCCCGAAGTAGAGCACCATCAAGAGCAAAGGGAGACTCCTCAAAATGCAGAGGGCCAGGCTAGGGTCTCAGCCCAGCCAGTGGCTGGAGGTGTCTGGCACTCTTGAACATCCCCTTGCTGACTCCCTTAGTCAAGACAAATCCTGCAACTCAGAAGCCTGAGGCCAGCTGGCTCCCCCAAAATACACAGGGACAAACATCCCCAGCTTACCCACTCCTGTCCCATGTGCCTTGACCCTCAGTTCCCACCACTAGCACTGGAGAAGTCTCAGCTCTCTATTATGCAGAGCCTCTATCCCCTAAACCCTTCTAAGTCAACTGGAGCACAGCGTGTCCCCTGTTGAAACTAACAGTAGTGATAACTCCCAGCTTGGGCCTGGACCCTCCAGAGTCACCCCAGGCTGCAGTATTTGAGAATTGTTGGGCCTAGTTTCCCAAGGCCCAGAGATATAGAGATGAGTGAGTGGACCCCAAGATACACAGGGTTCAGAATGACACATTGTGAACTCAGAGCAGGGGTCTCCTAAGATCAGCAGTCTCTAAGTCTTCCTATATGTGAAGGGTCTCTATTACCCCTGCCTCTTCATGAGATCCCCAAACCAACCCTTCACTCCAGTGTTTGTGCTCAGCCCCAGTGGGCACAGACGTGTAGACTGAGTCCCCTTATCTCCACTCCGCACCACACTATTCCTGATAGCCTCCATTTTTTCATGTGACCCCCAAGGCCCCAAAGCACAGAGCCTGGCCTGGGCCCAGTGCCACAAATAGCTTCTTCTCTGGGGACACCCTGCCGCCTGCTCCTCACTTAACTGGGCATATCACGAGTGCTGCTGAGCTCAGCTGGCACCAGCTTGCCACCCTGCCACTGCCTGCAGCCTGTACCTCCTGGAGTCCTCTGAGGAAGCTGGGAGCACTGCCCTGCTTACAGGGCCAACTAACCCCCAGGAGCTTCCAGCAGTGTTCTCAGAGTGAAGCCATGCCCCATCTTCTAGCAAAGCCACCTGTCAAGTGTGTCTCTTCAGGGAACCCCAGTTCAAAGGCCAGAAATAATTCTGACTCCAGGTTCCAACTCAAAAAAGAAGATTGGAAGTAGAACACAACAGCCCCAAAGAGGTGCCTTCTGAGAAAGTTCCCAACTGAGTAGGAAGGAAGGAGGTAGCCACAGGACAGTAGAGAGGCTTGGGTGGTAGCCAGGCTTCCAGGAGAGGGTGAGGCAGCCTCAGGAGACACCCCCCCCCCTTCTGAGGCTAGGAATTAGATTTTTAAATCAGTTCTCAGGAAACATTTGCTCAATGAAAGAGGGAACAAGAAACCCATTAGGGATGGGTGGAGGCCACAGGCCAGGCATGACCAGCTGTCACCAGGCTCTGTGCCCAGTTCTAGGCCTGGGGTGGATGCAGTAGATAGGGGTTTAGGGTCATTACTGCTCTCTGGTCCCTCAGGCCTGGGGTTGCCCTTGACTCTTTATTAGTCCTGGGATTGCTATCTGCTGTTTCCCTCAGGTCATAGTACCATTGTTTGATTTTCCACATCCTGTCCCTGAACTAACCCCAGCCCCCAACACACACTTCCCCTTCCCAATTGTTGCTTCCTTGCCTTCCAGTCCAGAGGCTGTGGGAAGGAGGTGGGCAGGGCAGGTGGAGGCAGGTTCTGTCAGCACAGTAGAGCCATGGAGGGGCCCTGTGTCCGGCTAGGTGGGTCCCTGGGAGCTGATGGTGTCGTGCAGAGCAAGCAGAGCACTCTTGGGACATGCAGCTCTGGGGGTGAGGAGAGGCCAGTGCCAGATGGCTGCATCCCAGAGGCCAGGCTTGCAGCCCAGGCCAGTGCCTGGGGAGGGTGCTTCCCTGGCTTCCTGGTCCGGAGGGCTGCCGTGTTGTGGCTGGTGTAAAGTAGGTCAGAGTTTCTCTCTCTGCCTCCCTGTGGGTACCATTTGGGGCCACACCATTCTATGTTGCAGTTTTTGGGGTGCTATCCTTTGCCTTGCAAAGTGTCCCTGGACTCTACCCACCAGGTGCCAGTAGCACCCCGTCCCCATTTGTGACCAACCAAAGTTATCAGATGTGCAGTTGTCCTCAGTTGAGACCCAGTGATTAGAGGTCAGAGAATACAGCATCCAGGCAAAGGGAGCTGTGGGGGTAAAGGCCTGGCCACAGGAGGATACTGAAGGGCACAAGGCTACGGAACAGTGAGCAGGAATGGGGGTGTACATGCTGATCACTATCAGCACTTGGGCATATCCTGTGTGCTCTGACTGCAAGAGGTGAACAGGGAGCCTGCCAAGTGAGACAGGCAGCTCAGACTTTGGAGACCGTGAAGGTGGAGATGCAAAGGGGCCTTTCTGCAGTCAGCTCAGGTGGTAAGCATGGTACTCCCTGGTTTCAGGGTCTGGTCCATGGGTACTCGAAGGCATTGATTTAGCTGCCTGTGACCTTCAGAGAGGCCTGACCTCCAGGTGCCTCCCTGGTTGAGTGAGAGTCATTTCTAATTAGGGGATTATTGCTCAAGAATGCAGCAGGCTTCATCCTGTTTAGAGGGAGTATCTTCCAGTGCTCTCTGCCTGGGTGACGTGGATGGGAGGAATTTGGACACTTGGGTCTTACTGCAGGCTGTGTCTGGCCTGTGCGACTGTACCTCAGGCTTCCTTATCCCTCGTAACCACTTAGTTGCCTGTAATTGGCAGGAAAAGAAAGGAAGTGTAGGGCTTTGGGATGCTGGAGCATCCTACTGGCCTCAGCACCCAAGGAGGCTGTGGCAGCAGAGCCCTCACTTGTAGGGGTTATGGCTAGCTGGGCCTTGGGATTCCACCTAGAGTAAGCCCTGGAGGATTGAGAGGAAGACCGGAATCTGCTTTCTCTGGGCTTTGTGTGTATCCCACAGCCTCTCCTTGGCTGCTAACAGTTTTGTCTGCAGGTGAGGACTGGGGCTCTGTGATGTTGAAGGAGTTGGGCATTGTCTAAGGTCCTGTGGCTAGGAGGGCTTCAGCACTCCATATCCCAGCATCATTCCATACACAAGCCCTGATGTCACCTACTTCTGTCTCCATTCAAACAGGGTGATACTTCAGGTTCTCCCTCCTGCCTTCGGAGCCCTAGCAGTGGTATTCCCTGTCAGGAACGCTCTTCCCATCAGTGTGGCCTTCCTGCAGCTCACCTGCCCATCACAGCATTGGTCCTGTGATCCTGATGTGACACTCACACTTGAAGTGACATATTTGGAAGTATTGACTGTTCAGGAGGTTGGCTCCTATACTAGACGCTGAGCTCTGTGCAGACAGGACCCAGTTGCTCTGTCCCTCCTGCCCCTTCTCTGAAGCAACCCCCCTCAGTACCTGCATCTTCCAGAATCTTATCTTCATCCACAGGCTTCCTCAATTACCAGGGTCTTCACAGGCCAGCTGTGGCTCCATGGGGCAAAAGCTGTTGGTTGTTGTGCCCTTTACCTGGATCCCACAAGGAGTTGGTAGGTCTGTATGTGTTATCTGTTCCCCCCCACAGAGGCTCATTATTATTTCTCTGCTTTTGGCTCCTTCCCCTCTAGCCTTCTGGAAACCACTGGTTCCTGAAGTGGTCACTGAACACATTTTAGTGTGCTGTTTTTTAGAATGTCCACCGTCAGCCAGGCATGGTGGCTCATACCTATAATCCCAACACTCAGGAGCTAAGGCAAGAGAATCTTAAGTTTGAGATCAGCCTAGGCTACAGAGTGAGCCTTTGTCTCAAAGATAAAAACAATGAATTCCTTCAACAGAAGAGCAGCCAGCCCTCTGGCAGCCTCTCTCTCTGTTGTCCTGGTGCCTGTTCCCTCTCCCACCTGGGTGACTTCCTTTTGATATAAGAAGCACTTGGGTATCAGAAGTAGCTTGGGTATTAGAAGAAACTGGGAAAGGGAGGCTGGGTGAGCATCTGAGCAGACACAGTGGAAAGACAAGCCCATGACTCACCAGGTGGAAGGTAGAGCTGGTTGAGCTAAAGAACTTAAAATCGGGCTGGAGAGATGGCTCAGCAGTTAAGAACTGTGACTTCTTGCAGAAGACCTGGGTTCAAATCCCAGCACCCACATAACAGCTAACAACTGTCCCTAACTCCAGTTCCAGGGGATCCCATGGCCTCTTCTGTCCTCTGAGGGCATTGCACAGCATAGGTGCACTTGCCTACATGCAGGCAATACATTCACACACATAAAATAAAAATAATATTCTTTTAAAAAAGGAACTTCAAGCCAGGCGTGGTGGCGCACGCCTTTAATCCCAGCACTTGGGAGGCAGAGGCAGGTGGATCTCTGGGAGTTCAAGGCTAGCCTGGTCTACATAGTGAGTTCCAGGACAGCTGGGGCTACAGGGAGACCTTGTCTCAAAAGACCCAAAAAAACCAAAAAACTTAAAATCAGACCTCTGGAAGTGCCAACTGGGTGGCCTTGTCCCCTGTGGTGTCCCTGGTGTAGTCTCATCTGGCTTTGTCTTTCAGGACTGTCCTGTGCAACCCAAGTTCCAGCCTCACTGAGCCAGCCACACCAAGAGCTTCCCCGCAAGAAAGCCCCTCCAAGCACTGACCATGTCTATTATGGACCACAGCCCCACCACAGGGGTGGTCACAGTCATCGTCATCCTCATTGCCATCGCTGCCCTGGGGGCCTTGATCCTCGGCTGTTGGTGCTACCTGCGGCTGCAGCGCATCAGCCAGTCAGAAGATGAGGAGAGCATCGTGGGTGATGGCGAGACGAAGGAGCCCTTCCTACTGGTGCAGTACTCAGCCAAGGGACCATGCGTGGAGAGAAAGGCCAAGCTGATGACTGCCAATAGCCCGGAAGTGCATGGCTGAGTTGGGCTGCAAAGCCCCTGGTCCCATTTGTAGCCAGCTCAGAGGCTCTGGGAGGGCAGAAACAGACATGTTGCTGTGAGAGGGGAGTGGTTGACACTTTGCAGGCACGGCCTCTGCAGGCTTCGTCATCGCATGCACTGACTCTGGGTCCTGGCTGTCCTGGCCTTCCCCCTTGGCCTCCTGGTGGGGCTGCCCATTGCAGGCAGTGGGCAGGCCTGACCCTGCAGGGGCTTGTGGCCCCCCTAGTGCTTTTGTTACTTGAATGTTTTAGCTGAGCCTGTTTTTGATGGAGCTACTACTGTAATGCGTGAACTCACCAACCTGTGAACTGTAAATAGGCCCCAGAAGCACGTGCTTAAGCCTTTTTTGCTGATTTTTAAAAATACCACATAGTGGGACTGGTTTGATGACCATACTCATGATGAGCCAAGGCGAGACCATGAAGGGTCTTCCACTGGTTAGGCCGCAGTTGCCCTTAGCAGGAGTCACTGAGGTTTATCTATGCATATGGAAAGGAAGTGAGAGATGGATTTCAGGACTGGTGGTTGAGCAGTTGGGGTACCTTGGTGATTTCTGCTTGGTTAGTAATGGGTGGAAGAACCACACCCCCCTTCTCTAGTTTCAGCTTTGTGAAATAGTGGTGCATGTAGATATTGGAGTTATTGCAAGGAAGCTACTGTACTTGCTTGGGAGCCGGTGAAGGACAAGTCCACACAAGTCCTGAGGGCTGCCAGGCGGCTGAGTAGCAGAGCATTTTCTTGTCCTTTGGTCTTAAGCACACCCAGTGTGCCGCCTTAACGCAGGCTTCAATGAAACACCAGAGCCCATGGTGGCTACTTTTAGTCTGAAACCCAGTTGGCCCAGGAGAGCAAGATTTTGTTTTTTGTATTTAATATTTTCTGCACTGCAGGTGGGGAGGAAGAGACTCTGTCCTGTGTTTTTTCTTTCCTCTCCTCTTCACATGTGAGCTTCCTTTCCCCTCTCATGACCACCCGCCTGCTGGGTATTGGCTTTCACTTCTCTCCTTGGGGTTCTGTGTAGACTGACTCCCCTGACCCAGTACTAAATGTACCATGAAAGGTCATTTCTAGTGAGCATGTATTTACAAAGGAGCTATCTAGGGCAACGGGTTGGGGAGTTCAAGTTCAGGACCTGGTTCTTAAAGGTAAGGGAGCCAGCACCCCAGCAGCTTGCATCTGTGAGAAATCCCTTGTGCCCAAGTCCGTGAGCTTGCTCAGATGTTTAATCCCACCACTGTAAGTGCACTCTAAACCATCACGATTAAAACGTGACTGTTGGCATCCTGGGTTATCAGCCCTAGCTTCACCTTTACACCTGAGACCTCATGAGCAGCACTGGGCAGGGAACACAGCTCCAGCCTCCAGGCCAGGCTGGAAAGATCTCCTTTAAAAAGCATGTGGAACTAATTCATTTTCTGGAACCCCAAAGGGGAAGCTGTAGGGAACATTTCTTTTTAGCAGCATATGCCTACAGGGCAGGAACAGCTTGGGATAAAGAGGGGAAGCTAATGAGGCCATTTGCACTGAAGGTAGGAATAAGATGCCACAGGTGGATTGCTGGGGGAAAAACCGACTAGGAAACTCCCTTGGCCCCCAATGAGATGGTCAGACCAGGGAACAGATAGTGAGGGATAGATAGGCTGGCCATTGGCTGAGGCTACTCAGGCTGGGGTGGGCAGGATGCATGTTAGAGCTGGGAGCAATGATCCATAGGCCTAGAAGGGGAACAGAAAGTTTGATGGGAAGGTTTGCCCTGTAGCTGAGGGGTTTGATCCATCCCTATCCCATTTCCAGCTCTCTACCTCTAATTCTTCCCCAGCCAGTAGCATATAAATACTGCTGGTGCTTTAGCTCTACTGCCCACTGATCCAAGAGTAGCTTGGATCTAGTTTCAATGTGAGCCTGGATCCTGAAACTGACCATCACTCTCCTTCAGATGCAGACTACAGCTTTTACTATGCCAGTGAACTTTCAGCTTTGAAATGATTAAACATTGCTTTCTCATCAGTTTTACTTTTGGAGTTTTCTCATCTGCTTCCAAGTTGCCAGAGATGTCTTTATTGCTTGAGTCGGCCCATCAGAGTAGGATGAATTGTTTGTTGGGTGAGGTTCGCGTTGGGTGAGGTACTGTGGTGCACTGGTGGAGGTCTTTGGGAGGAAAATGAAAACACCTATAGAACTAGTGAATGGTCACACAATAGCTTTCCCTGTTCTTATCAGTGGCTACTTTTTTAAAGCAGACACCAGAGCCATGGTTTAGTAAGTTACGACAGAGGAGAGGGATTTAGATTCTTTTCAATAGTGCAACTATTGTGGTCAGGCCTTGTAATGAGTAAGCAGCTAGCCTTTCATCCTGCATACACAGAAGCAGCAGGAGGAAAGCAAGAAGGGACTCTGAGGCTGGGCCACTGAAAGGTGGACTTCCAGACACATCCTCAAATGAACTATGCTACTGTTTTTGTCTCAAAGCTACCAAGTTTGTGCAATAAGTGGAAGGAATGCCACTTCTGTTCAATAAAAGCTGAATGACATTCAAGTTCATTTTCTAGACCCAGAAAATCTTTATTTACAATAAATTTCAATAAAATTTGCATAAATATCTTCCCAATGTAGTTTTTACCTCAATTCCTTCATCTTATTTCAAAAGTTAGTCTGTCCTGTTCTCATGCTTCCTCTCTGATGCCAGAGTGGAGCTAGTGTTGGAAGGCAGAGGAGTGCCACCAGGTAACTCGGTAGCACCTGTAGGCTTCCGGTGGCTGGAGTGAGCTTCTCTTAGAGGGGTGGGGTCCTCAGCCCCATCCTGGCCTTCTAGTTCCCTCTCCATGGTGGCCACAAGAATCTTGAGCCATGTGTCTTCAGGGAGGGGATTCTCTGAAGCACTGGCCAGCTCTTGAAGTTCACGGGCCTTCTGTACATACAGGGCCTGCAGCTTCTGGCCATGGCGCCGGAGCAGCCTGTGCTGCTGCTCCAGGGTCCGCTGCCTCCGCAATAGGCGACGCCCATCTCTGCGGGCACTGGAGAGCTGGCCCTCCACCTGCTCCTGTGTGCGGCGGAGGCTGCTCATCTCAGCTCTCAGCTTCTGCATGATGCTCTCCATGTGAGAGATATGTTCCCGCTGCAGGACTGCCTCGCTCTGGACACATTCTTTGGTAGGAGGGTTGGCCAGGCTCTGGGGGGCAGAGGCAGGGTCTGAGTGATACAGAATGAATCTTAGCAGATTCGGAAGGGTGATGGGGAGGTCTCCAGGGTATTTTACACTTAGGTCCTTTCTGGAGAGAAAGGGAGAAGAGTCAAAGGTGAGGGTCATGTCAACAGGCACAGTGCAAAGCCAAATGTGACTCAAGGTCAGGCCGGCTACTCAGACCAAGAAAAGACATGCCTAGGCTTCTACTTCCTGAAAGGAAGGAAGTGTTGCTTGGGCAAGCAGTTCCCTATAGGGCTGAGTGCCCCATATGCTCAACTGTGATTAAGGCAGAGTATATCCATGCCTGTGGACAGAACTCAGTTTTTGCACTCAACTTCCAGAAAGACAAGGCCTACGCCTAAAGCCAGTGCAGCAGGGGAGGGTGGGGGCTCTATGTGATCCACAAGGTCTGCTGGCCAAAGTTCTGGAACAGGACTGTCATCTGTCACCATGGCTATTAACAGTGTTTGATGAAACTGGAAAAACCTGGGCTGGAGAGATGTCTCAGCGGTTAAGAGCACTGGCTGTTCTTGCAGAAGACCTGGATTCTAATCCTAGCACCTACATGGCAACTAACCACCATCCCGCAGTTCCAGTTCCAGGGGATCCGATGCCCTCTTCTGTCCTCCATGGGCACTGCACCTCATGGGTGCACTACTAACACGCATGCAGGCAATACACTTGTAAACAAAAAAAAATTTTTTTTTTTTTGGTCTTTTTGAGACAGGGTCTCCCTGTAGCCCCAGCTGTCCTAGAACTCACTATGTAGACCAGGCTGACCTTGACCTCACAGAGATCTGCCTGCCTCTGCCTCCCGAGTGCTGGGATTAAAGGGGGGGTCTTTTTTGAGACAGGGTCTCCCTGTAGCCCCAGCTGTCCTGGAACTCACTATGTAGACCAGGCTGACCTTGACCTCACAGAGATCTGCCTGCCTCTGCCTCCCGAGTGCTGGGATTAAAGGAGTATGCCACCACGTCTGGCTAAACAAAATTTTTTAAAAATTAAAAATAATTTTTTTTAAACCTGGAAAAAGCTGGATGGTGCATGCCATTAATCCCAGCACTTGAGAGGCAGAGGCAGATGGATCTTGTGAGTTTGAGGCTGGCCTGGTCTACATAGCAAGTTCCAGGCCTGCTGGACAACAACAACAACAAAATAACTGGAAAAACCTGTAACAGCTGTTTCCTCAGGAAACATTTAATAATGCATGATATCTATGGTAGGAGTGTTGACTACAGGTGACTATCATATCCAGAGGACACTGAGTTTACACCTGAAGAGGTCCTACTAGCAAAAGGACCAACCAAGGGACTTAAGGTAAATTATAGTAACCCAGTGCTGACAGCACAGAACTGAGGACAGTGACATCAAAAGGGGTTCCCCACAGCTTTGTTCCAAGTCCTCATTCAGAAAAGTCCTTTTCAAAACTTGTTATTCCAATGTCTGGCCACCAACATTTTTCTTACAGGTTTGTTTACCTGTGTGCATGCACAATCTGGCCACCAAAACTCATCAAAGTGCTAGCTTTCTACATTTCTGCCTGAGGCTAGTCAAAAGACAGGTATCGGCACCCTCAGAAAGTAAAGGAATGGAGGTTGAGAGCAGAGACCCCAAAGTCAGCTCTCCAGGCTGTACTGCGTCTGTCATGTATTTTCAGACTAGCAACTTGGGCTCTGTAAAAATGTCCTGTGCCTCACAGGAAGGTTATGGGGATCAACTGAGTTAAGTGGATGTTCAAGATTAGCTTTGTAAAATTTTGCATTACTAGCTGTATGTGGTAGCACATACTTATAATCCCTCAGGCAGAAAGATCACAAGTTTGAAGCCAGGCTGGGCTACATAGTAAGACCACATCTGAGAAAAGAAAAAGAATATTGCACTGTTCCTTAGGAATGCACCAATTAAAAGCTTGTATATCCTTTCCACACACAAAGCCATCAGCCAAACACCTAAAAATACAAAAGGTGTCCTATTATTGGGTATCCCTTTTCCTATCAAAAATCACAAGGAAGTTAAAATCAGCCAAGCTGAAACAAGATGGCTCACACCTGTAATTCCAGCACTTAGAATGAGGCAAGACGATCAATAGAAGTTTGAGGCTAGTCCGGGCTACAGTATGAGATCCTGTCTCAAAACAAAAATAAGGTATGTCCACTTTATGTAATTTACAGAAACCTTTAGACAGCTTTTTACCAGTTTTAAAAACTTTCAGATAAGGGTAATCAGAACTTTGAAGGTGTATGTCAGCTGTGTCTATCAATAATAGAGTAAGTGCTCTTCACAATAGATTTTTTCTCCTCCCATGGAGCACCCAGCACAACTCCACAGAGGAGGTGGCTAGGCCTGTCACTCTGTCTTGTAGGGCCAAGTGCAGATGCACCTCCCCCCACACAAAAGGGAAGGGCTTTTAGGCACCATAGTATGTCTCTGAAAACATTTACAGGATAAGACTAGTAAACAGCATGCTGTCTTAAAGTCTTGGTGACTCCCTAATGCTAAAATGGTTTCACATCCTTTTTAAAAGAAAAATTTTACGTATTTGTTTTTAGGTTTTTTTTTTTTTTTCTTTTTAAGATTGTATTTAGTGTTTGTGCATGCCATGGCACTGGTATGGAAATCAGAAGACAACTTGTGTGCGTTGGTTCTCACCGTCCACCATGTACATTCCAGGGATTAAACTCAGGTTGTCAAAGCCTTTACCAAATGAGCCTGTTTGAGACAGGTTCTTAATATGTAGTTTTTAGGCTGGCCTTGAACTTCTAATCCTCTTGCCTCTGTCCCCTGAGCTGGAATCATAGTAGTATGATATCATGCCTGGCTACTTTGACATCAAAATATTTTTTTTCCATACTTTTTAAAAGTAGGTAAGAAGCCAAGCATGGTTGCATGCCTTTAATCCTAGCACTTGGGATGCAGCGGCAGAGGCGGGCACAAGTGGAGTGCTGTAAAATAGAGGCCAAATGGTCTACATAGGGAGTCTAGGCCAGCCAGGGTTACAGGAAGCTCTGTCTCAAAACAAAACAAAAAAAACCACAAAAAGTAGATAGGACATAGAATATCAACAAACTGCTTCCAAAAATCTAGTCCTGTGAACCTGGACACAGCGGCTCACATCTGCAATCTCAGCACTCAGAAGGCTAAGGCAGGAGGATTGTCATGAGTTTTGAGGTCAGCCTAGGCTGCACAGTGAGTTACAGGTCAGACTAGGGAGAAAGGTACAGTATGAGACGCTGTCTCAAAAAAAACAAACAAAAATGTTTTATTTTTGAGACAGGGTCTCATTTTGTATCCATGGCTGGCCTTGAACTCACAGAGTTCTGCCTGTCTCTGACTCTTGAGTGCTTGGATTTAAAGGCATGCACCACCATGCCTAGCCCAAAAGTTGTTCTCTTGAAAGCATGGTGGTACAGGCTTCCACTACTCTGACCCTCTCATTCTAAGGAAGGGGCCAGAGCTCCTGAGAGCATCCAGGTTCTTCCTGAGAGGCAACGCTGGAATTTGTGAAATTCCGTCTAGCCCAGAGCTATGCCATAGTATGTAAAAAAGGTCTGCCATGTCCCCCAGGGTAGGATGCAGGCTACTGACTGTGTACAAAGGTGATAGTCCACTTCCCAGCCTGCCCTCCTCCCACCTCCAGTGAGGGAAGGCAACAACAGGAGCAGAAAGAAGCTGGACAGGCTTCTTCACAAAGTTTCTCTACTTCATGATTATGAAATGGGGCATGTTCAATGTAGACAGTTTGCAGGAATGTAAAAATCATATAAGCAGCGTCTTCTAATCCTTACAACCCTCACCCCCTGGAAGCAACCTTGTCAACATCTTAGCATAACTCCACCTCGTGCACAGAGTTTGCATTTCCCACACTGCAGGTACTACTTTATACTTTCTCTAAAAATAGCAGGCAACCCATGAAAATAGTCTTATGCTATCTCAGTCTTTTTCATTTCTTCTTTTTTGAGCCATCAGCTCATACTATTTTCCCATCCACCTCCCAGGTGAGAATTTTCTCTCTGGACTGGATAATGATGATTTTTCTTTACTTGTGCCAACATTTGATTTTAGAAAATGAGAAAAAATCCATTCTGAAGCAGAAAGGCTTTGATTTACCAAGCCTTCACCATTTAATAGAACTGGACTTCCTTTCCAATTAAAGGGACATAGGAGGGAATGCAGCAACTGGCTGGGTGAAGATGAAGAATGCACTCCCCCCTTTTTTGAGACAGGGTCTCGCTATGTAGCCCTGGCTGGCCTAGAACTCACTATATAGACCAGGCTGACCGCAAACTCTCAGTGATGGCCTGCCTCTGCCTCTGCTGGAATTAAAGGTGTGAGCCACCATGCCCAGCCTGAACTTACGCTATTGTTTCTCACACCAGGCAGCTACAGGAGGGGAATGCTGACCCAAACGCAGGGTCCAAGCATGTTTCTTGTGCACCTGTCCAACGTGTGTGTGTCTCTCCTTCCAGCCACACACACTCATAAGTCTCTTCATGAAAAGACTGGGTGTTGTGACTTTAATACTTTTTCAAAGTATGTTTGGAATGCAAAAATTGTATGTCATTAAACTACAAGCCCAACTTCTGTCCCACAACAGATAAAATTGCTGGTGTTGGGGTCCATGATTTCTTGATTAAATGGCAGGTTAAAGACGTCTTAGAAAGAAAAGGGTTCATCATGACAAAACCAGCAGCAGAAGAGAGTGAGTCATACTCTGTTTTTAGTGTGTGATTTGATAAGCCCCTACTACCACAGGAAGTATTCCAGCAAACACTCTTTGAGATAAAGGCCAAAAACTGAGGCAGCAATTCAACAGAGTCAAAGGAAGCTCTCTACCAGAGAGGCCAGAATGAGCATAGCAGTGGCACAGTGACTTGGAAAAGGAGGCAGCCAGGAAGTTAAAACAATAGACACTGGACACTTGGGTCAAGACCCTCCCTAAAGGATCCTGCAAACACTTCCCAAAGAGGATGTGAATGGATCCCCATGCAGACCTGTCCTACAACCAAAGGGAAGTTATATGTGAAAAAGGAATCAACATCCAGTTTACTCGTGAGGACCAAGAGTTCATTTCCTTTTCTGAGGAAATGTTTGGGCCTACACTTACTGCCAAGTCCAACACTCTTTGCTAATGCCTCATCCCTGATTGCTGGGGCTTTTGGCACAGTCAGATGACAATCCCACAGCAGTCACAGCAGGCTGTATGTATGCAGAGAATGCCTCCTAAGAGTGGCCCAGTGAACTGTGGCAACCTCTACTGTGTTCACACAGGCATGAAAACTATTTCTCAGGGCCATATGCATACTTGTGTAAAAAAAGAGACTTAGGGAAGAGCAAACCTCAATGAAAACTAGCATGGTCCATGAACAGTCCAACACCACATGTCCCAAATGGTAGAGTTTTATCAACAGTTTAGGTCATAATGAGTGATTTATATCTTAAGTCCATTTCATCTTCAGAGTTCAACAAGAGAATCCCATCTGTCCAACACTGAAAAAAATTCAGACTTACCTATTGCAGGGAAAAAACAAGATGGTAGGTAGACGGTCAACCATGAATTCCCAAGGAAGATCATTCTGAGACACGTCAATCCTGGCAGAGGCAAAAGCAAACGACTGGTAAATTATCAGCCCAAGAAGTGCCGACCTGAAGAAATTCCCCATTTCCTGAAGAACCTGTGGTGTTTCTGCACCCCTGGGCCAACCTCCTTAGTGAGGGTACTGCAGGTGCAAACTAGGCACCAACAGTTTCAGAACATGCCACTGTCCACTCTAAAGTAATATTAAGGCCTGAAAGTAAACACAGATGCCTGAGTAGCTTCACTGAAGTAGCCTCACTGAAGATCTGGCTGAGTATTTTAATCTGTATATTAGTTCTAGAAAAAGCCAGTCAGTCACTGAGTGAAGCGCAGCAAGCCTCTCTGAAGAGAAAGGTTACACTCTTTACACACTGTGAGTGAGGATGGAGGCCAAGGCCAGGGTACTTTCTTAATACAGTTTCAATTAATTTTTTTTTTTTTTTTGGTCTTTTTGAGACAGGGTCTCCCTGTAGCCCCAGCTGTCCTAGAACTCACTATGTAGACCAGGCTGGCCTTGAACTCACAGAGATCCACCTGCCTCTGCCTCCCAGAGTGCTAGGATTAAAAGTGTGCACCACCACGCCTGGCTAACTTTTTTCTTTTAAAATAAAAGTTTCTGTTTGGGGTTGGAGAGTTGGCTTAGTGGTGAAGAGCACTGACTGCTCTTGCAGAAGACCAAGGTTCAATTCCCAGCACCCACATGGAGGCTAACAACCATCTGTAACTCCAGTTCCAGGGGATCCGACACCCTCTTCTGACCTCCATGGGCACTGCATGACACAGGTGTACACACATACATTCAGGCAATATACTCATACACATAAAAATAATTTCTTAAAAAGGTTTTGTTTTGTTTTTCTTTTCCAGATAGGGTCTTGCTGCTGCAGCTGGCCTAGTTTTCACTATGTAGCCCAGGCTTCCCTCATACTCTCAGCAATCATTCTGCCTTCACATCCTTAGTGTCAGGATTTCACACATGTGCCACCACACCCAGTAGGTTAATTTTTATCGTAGAAAATGATATCTGCTAAATCACCCACCCTATGTTCAATTAGGGTGGCACAAATTATAACTGTTCTGGTAATCGGCCCTCCCACAGCAGGCAGTGACCTGGGCAGGTGACAAGGATCTGCATGTGCTGACCTGCAGAGGGCTGACAGCATATTCTAAGGGAGGATATTCATGGCCAGTGCACACAGAAGGTGGAAATGCCTGGATCATTAATTTGGTGGCATTTTCAAAAAGTATATCTGATGTGGGATCAAGCAGTATAAACCAGTGTGGCGTGATTATTCAAACTAGCCATAGGGGTTGGAGATCTAGCTGAGCTGATAGAGTGCTTGCCCAGTATAACTTATAGTAAAGTCCTGTATAAATCAGGCTTGGTGGCACACACCTGTTTCCAGCACCCTGGAGACAGAAGCACGAAGTTCAAGGTCATCCTTGGCTACACAGCAAGCTGGAGGTCAGCCTGGAATACATGAGACCCTGTCTCAAACTCAAACACACACATACACACACACACACACACACACACACACACACACACACACACACACACACCAAAATTGGCACAACAAAATGAAAACTATTTCCCTATATCTTTTAACAAAATGGCATGTTTGCCTCTGCCCATGAAAGTCTACCTAAAACATACGAGCTCCACATTTCAACCCAGTAGTGCTGGCCACCATACTCTGTAACTGAGACTGTGAAATGAAAACACTAAAAACCACCGGAACTCCATGGCCTATCAGAGGCCTTTCCTTAGGATTCTTGCATGGTTGTAAACTTACAATGTTAGGAGCGATTACACAGCAACTCCTCTAGTCTTTTCAATTAATTAGATGAAAAGCACTGCTTTAGTAAATGGCCAGAGGTGCTACCTATGCCATTATGACTACATGCCTCTACTGTTGCTGTAAACAATGCTATAAGAATTAGGGTATGTGTCTCTGGAATTCCCATTTTTCTAAGCCCCCAAAGTGAAATTAACTGGGTCATAAATGTGTAACAGTTTTTTTGTGATTTCTTGCAAATGTTGTCAAAATGCTTTCCAAAAAGGGTTTTGCCAACTTATTCCACTTTATCAACACAAGATCCTGTAACTTAAAAAAGCATTTATTGTCAGGCGTGGTGGCGCACGCCTTTAATCCCAGCACTTGGGAGGCAGAGGCAGGTGGATCTCTGTGAGTTCAAGGCCAGCCTGGTCTACATAGTGAGTTCCAGGACAGCTGGGGCTACAGGGAGACCCTGTCTCAAAAAAAACAAACAAAAAAAAAGCATTTATTAATTTAGTTAAATGACACTTTGTTGGTGTTTTAATTTAATTTATTAGGTCCTAATTTCCCGGTTGTTTATTTATTCTGTCATTTGCATGAAAAGCCTGCCTGTGTTCTTTGTTCACAATGAGTTTACCTGTTCTTAAACTTTTTATTATTTGTTAAGCATTTTTACTATTCTGAGACAGGGTCTCATGGAGCCCAGGCTGGCCTCTAACTTGCTATGCAGCTGAGGATGACCTTGAACTTCTGATTCTCCTGCTTTGACCTCCCAAGTGCTGAAATTACCATAATGTGCCACCACACCTGGTTTATGGACTGCTAGGGATTGAATTTAGGGTTTCATGCATGCTAGGCAAGCATGCTACCTACCAACTGAGCCACACTCCTGGCTATCTTTAAACCATTTTAAATGTGAGGTGTCTAGTGCATGAACATCTGGTGATCTGAATACTGATCCCACATTTACATGTTGTATGATTCTGGACAAGTTATCTGACATTTCTGTACCTCAGTTGTATCCTCAATAAAAAGAAAATGAACGCTACACCAGCCTCACAGAGTATTCTGAGGTTGAAGCTCATCTGTCTTAAGCTCTCAGTATAATAACTTCTCAAATTTATTAAATAAATTTATTATATCAAAATTATTATTGAGAGTTCATAGCAGGTACCAAGTGAAATATAGATATACATGTACTTATGGCAACCTTTTGAAGCATGTTGCTAGGGCTGAAGAGGTAGCTCAGTGTTAAAAGCCCTTGCCTTGCATGCACTGGGCTCCAAGTTCAATCCCTGCTACTGTTAAAAAAAACCATCACTTAAAAGTATGTTTTTATTTTCGTTGCACATACTCCAATGGACTATGTTCATCTTTCTTTATTTTTTTCAACTGTTCCTACTTTGGAAAGTTGTTTTTTGTTTCTTTGTTTGTTTTTGTCTTTTTGAAGCATGGTCTCCCTGTAAGCCCCAGCTGTCCTGGAACTCACTATATAGACTAGGCTGGCCTTGAACTCACAGAAATCTGCCTGCCTCTGCCTCCCAAGTGCTGGGACTATAGGTGTGCACCAATTTCTCAAATCCAATAGCCTATCTTCTGCTATTTTTTCCTGTGATTTGGTCCTCCTTATTTAGTGGGAAAGGAGGAAAGATATAAATTAAACAACCCCCACCCAAACTGCTTACTTCCTCATCTACATTTGTATTTGAGGGCTGGGGAGATGGTTCAGTTGGTAAAGTGCTTGCTATGTAAGCATGAGGGCCTGAGTTTGGAGCCTTAGCACTTACATAAAAAGCTGGTGTGGCTGGGCATGGTGGCACATGCCTGTAGTCCCAGCACTTGAGAGGCAGAGGCAGGCGGATCTGTGAGTTCAAGGCCAGCCTTGTCTACATAGTGAGTTCCAGGACAGCTGGGGCTTACAGGGAGATCCTGCTTCAAAAAGACAAAAACAAAAAAAAAAAAAAAACAGGTGTGGTGGTAAACACTTAAAATCCCAGTGCTGTGAGGCAGAGAGTAGGATCATGGGGCCTCTCTGGATCAGTGAGCTCCAGGTTCAGTGAGAGACCCTGATTAAAATAATAAGTCTATCTAGTCATGAGTTGTTAGCCAAGAAACCCCAGAGGCCCCTCAAACAACACAGGCTATTGTTATTGCTCTTGGTTGCACACCACTAGATGATAAGACCCTATTGCTCAAGACACTATATACGTTGGTTGCAAGACAGAGAAATCAAGTTGCAACTGAACTGGAAGCTTTCCCCCTTCTGGTTAACTCCCAGAAGGTGCCAGAAGGTGCTTTCAGGTAGTTGGGAAAGAAAAGTCATCAATAATCTTACCCAGTGGAGGACCCTGTTGCTACATGTCTTAAATAGGACATTTCTATCACACTCTCCAAGGCTCAGGGAACATAGTGGAAGAGAGACCGGAAAGAAATGAAGAGCTGGATGATGGGAGGGGTATCTTCTGAGCAGACATAGCCTTTGCAGTTGTGAACTCACAGCAGCTGCGGTTCCTAGCACTAGGCCTACATAAGGCAGTCTGTCAACATTCAGTAATGGATAGGGGAGGAACTCATGGGACCCCACCCCTTCCTAGGGCACTGCTGGCTATTGATGGATGCTGGAGGAGGAGGAGTCACTGTCTTCATGGGTACAGCCATTGGTAAGTCCTCTATGCTCTAGTGGATAGCTCCATACCGACTGAGCATATGGACAGGCCAGGCTAAACTTAGTTGATCAACAAAACAAAGCCAAAATGACATGACAACAGGAGAACAATCTACAGGAGAAGGGTGGGAGAGTTGATGGGGTGAGAGAGAAGAGATGGAAGAAGTGAGTGTAATCAAACGCATTATATACATATACAAAATTGTCAAGTAGTAAGTTTAATTTAAAAAATACTAATAAGGTGGAGAGTGGTAGAGGGAGATACCCAATGTTGACTTCTGACCTCTATACAAGTATTCTCTCTCTCTCTCTCTCTCTCTCTCTCTCTCACACACACACACACACACACACACACACACACACACACGGGTATTTGAAGCCAGGCGTGGTGGCTCACACCTGTATCTCAGCACATGGGAGACTAAGGGAGAACTATCAGGAGTTCAAGGACAACCTGGGTTACATAGTGAGTTCAAGCCAATCTAGACTATAGAGACTAAAAAAAAAAAAAGATGATCAAACTTTGTTTATGCAAATGCCTGTATATATCACCCATGGAATCACAAAACTAAAACACAAAGTTGGGCATGGTGATGTACACCATTAATCCCAGTACTCAGGAGGCAGAGGAGACAGGTGGACCTCTGTGAGATCAAGGAACATAGTGAGTTCCAGGCCAGTTGGAGCAACAGTTGGAGAGCCCCTCTCTCTCAAAGAAAAAAAAAAAACTAGAACACACAAGGTTATGGACCAACTCTTCCTCTTGATCTCACCAATGAAGAGAAAAACAGGCTGATGCTGTGGGTCCCAGGGTTAGGTGGCATTCTGGGCATCCCCTTCAAAAGGACTCCAAGCAGTCAGAGCTGCACCTACTTTCCCATGAATCCAGTAAGTACCTAAACATCATGTACACCCTGAATTCAACAGGAAGAAGTTTCATGACTTTTAACTGATAATTAAATCCAACCAAGTCTTACATACCATGGGCTAAGTGGCAGAGGGGACTAAAGGTGGTATATCCCATGATGCTGTGAGCTGGATTCCTACCTGGCCACAGTGAATGTGTCCTCTGGCAGGAGCCGAGCTAGCTGAATAAAGATGTGATTGAGTGAAGGGCAAAATCCACACCACTGTGCATAATAGAGCAGCAAAACATCCTATTGGAAAAGGAGACAGTGGTTACTTGCCTGGGACTTGGTCTTCATCTCCTGCTATGCATACATTCCCTCAGGCATTGAGTTAACCCAACTGCCTATGCAGAAATCATGGTGAGATTTTTCATCTTTAGTTCTAGTTATGTGCTTTTTTAAAAGGATTTCACAATTAGAAAACCCACCACTGGGTCCTCTTGAAGAGGACCCAAGTTCAGTTCCCAGCACCCACATGGTGGCTAACAAGCCTGTAAGTCCAGTTCAAGAGACTCTGACATCCTCTTCTGGCCTCTGTGGGCATTGTGTATACAGGTGTACTTATATACATGCAGGGAAAACACTCATACACAAAAAAGAAAGAGAAAAAAAGAGAGGGGCTGGAGCAATAGCTAAGTGGTTAAGAGCATTGGCTACTCTTCCAGAGGACCTGGGTTTGATTCCCAGCACCCACATGGCAACTAACAACCATCATAACTACAGTTCTAGGGGATCTGTGGGCACTGCATGGAGTGGGTACACTTATATACATGCAGGCAATACACTCATATACACACATGCATACATATATATATACATATACATAATATTTTAAAAAGAAAAAAAAAAAAGAAAGCCCACCACGTGATCCATTCATGTTCTGCCACCAGACTAATCTGCAAATCAAAAACTGACTATTCACTTCAACAATTACAACATGGAAATTACTCTAAGAAGGATGGATGGCTTGAATTTGGCTCCTCTTTTGAGCCCCTACACCTGTTTCCTGCAGTGACAGAGACTGAACTCAAAGCCTCATCCATGCTAGGCAAGTGCTCTACCACTAAGCTTGATCTTTAGCTCCATGCCTGTTTCCGAAGGACGACTTCCCAGAAGGTGTCAGTTGTCACTTCAGTGATTAAATGCTGAGATGGGAGCTGGGCAGAATCACTTCCAATAAGATGCCTTTTCAAGGGACTGTAGATAATGCTGAAGTTTTGAATAAAAGACTCTAAAAATAAAGAGAAAATGAGATCAGCTCTGCTCTAGGTACAAGGAAAACAGCTGGCCTACTTTAAACTTCACATTTTAAAACTGAAATGACTTCCCATGCTTACAATTTAAGTACCTCACCTCTAAGCAAAACCTGACACAAAGGTGCCCAGGATGTCATCAGGCCTAGCTTTGGTAGTTATTAACTCAGGGGACAGTCCTTTAGATAACAAAACATCATGTGGACGGGGTGCTCAAATACAAAGTAAGAATTCCATCCTGCTGCTCTCTAAAAGAACTGGTCCAGAAATATATACTAAGTGAGAAAGCACATATCAGCAACCTGCTACACCCTTTGCAAGAGATTCAATCTCTAATGCCAAGATCTTAAGCATTACTACAAATGTCATAATTGAACAATGTGGAAATATTTAATGCTCATTAACCTGAATCCAAGGAGCTTTATTGTTTCCTTTATTTAAAGTTTCTTTTTTAAAAGGCTAATAAGGGGCTGGAGAGATGACTCAGCAGTTAAGAGCAAAGGCTGCTCTTCCAGAGGACCTGGGTTTGATTCCTAGCACCCATATGGCAGCTAATAACTGTCCACAACTCCAGTTCCAGGGGATTCAATGCTGTCTTCTGACCTTTGCATGACATGGGTGCGTTTACATACATGCAGGCAATATACTCGTGTATATATAAAATAAAAAAATAATAAAATATTTTAAAAGCTAACAAAAATAAAAATTATCAGAGGCAGGCCAATTTCTGTGAGCTCAAGACCAGCCTGGTCTCAGAAAGTCTGTTCCAGGCCAGCTGGGGCTACAGAGACCCTGTCTCAAAAAGGCCAATCAATCAATCAATCAATCAATCAATCAATCAAAATTATACATGGTGGAAAAACACACAAATAAAACCTATAAATAATCAAAGACCTAACTTGAGCCAACAATTTCACCCTTGCCACAAACACAGCCATCTTAGAATCCTTTGCCCTCAGTGAAACAACACTAATCTGAGCTTTATTTTTCTTCTGACTCTCCACTGGAGGTCATAATGGATAATAACATGCTCTGCAGAGGAGGAAGTGAAAATGTCATGTGAATACTAAAGACACTCGTTATCATAGCTGAAAAACACTTAGTTGGCTAAGGTTTTGGACCAGGAAACCAAGAATTATTTCCCAATCTGAATGAAGTCTAAATTCTGAAGCCACTCTAGCAACCGTTGACTTAGGGGTTAACTCTCAGCTATCCATAACAGTAAATGGTTTGTTTCACAAGGACTTCCAAAACTGTCATCAAATATAAGACAACAGCTGAGCCAGAGTTGATGTGAATGTGTTATGAGCTCATCAAAATACATGAGAATTACCGAAAAGAACTGAGAAACTCCAATAAACACTTTCTTTAAAAACAGAACAAAACATGTTTGTTTTCATTTTAAGAAAACCAAAATACACCAACATTTCCTTGGAAAACATAAATTAGGAGCAATTTTTAATATTAAAAGATTTTGTACTCCATAACATAAATATCACAAGGTTCCTTTAGGCACCAAGGAGCCTGTCATTGTAGTATGTAATTTGATACAGGAAAACCAACATTTACATCAGTGCTTTCACAAATGTGAGAAATGTGAGCATTTCACCTGGACTGACAGAGGGGGAGTCAGGACTAGTATTTAGGAGAGCTGAGCATATCCTGCCTTCAGACTCTCTAAACTTGGAAATCGAGCTGCTTTGACTATCTGATTTCTCCCTTCCTCCATTTGGCAAGCACTGGCTCTCCCCAAGTTTCCAGTGAAGCTGAACTAACAAGGCTTTTGAATTCTTACTTCCTTGTGTTGTATGTCAGGGACTTCGGCAAAGTCCTGGGAACAGGACCACATGAGTCCATTTGCTGCTGTTGCCAAGCCCCTGGAGCCAGTTCTGGGGTGCTTTCCCACAGTGGAACCTTAGACCTACAAAGTGGTTTTTACCAGCTTGCAACCCAAACTGGACACTTGTCTGTACAATGTAGATAGTGAAGGTCAAAGGCAGCATTCCTCAGCATGCTATAAACCTGCAGCAGAACAAATTAGGCCTAGTGGCTGAAACACATACATTCAACCCTGTGAGACAAAAGTGAGCCCAGCCACTGCTTTCTGCTTTTATTGCTCCTTAGATGCTGTCACTGTTAATGGCCACGTCCATAGCCCCTGCACATCCTACCAGAAAGGTTCTCACCACCCTGTCTAGTATGGGAACCAGGTCCCTTCTAACTAACACTGGCTGAGCTTTGGAAATGTCACAGAAATTGCCACTCTAGACACTTGGACTCCTAGCCAGCTGACAAACGCAACCAGAATTTGGCATATGGAAGTTTCTGTTGCATTTAATAGGCAAAATAAGCCTCTTTCCAAAATGACAAACAGATAAAGACAATTTATAATAAGTTGTCTGAAGACCTAAAATGAACTATGAAGCTAACGCCACTCCCACAATCAAGTATAATGAGACTATCAGTACAACTTACAGATCTTAGGCCAAGCAAAGCAAAGTTGTTATGCTCAGAGAAGCAAACCTACAGTACCTAGAGTGAACTTCATGAGGGCTTGTTTGGGGTCCAAGATATAATGCGACTCTTCTTTTACATCAACAATTGTGGCAAACTCCTTCACGGGAGCGGAGCTTGGGGCACCTAGTCTCTCCGCATATAACCAAAATAAATTGGAATCCAAAAGGTAGATGTTCAGGGTCTTGTTGGTTCTGCAGCTCAGGCCTGTGAAGGTTGTGCCAGTGAGGCCCACTTCAGGAAAGCGGTACCTGTTCTCCTCAATGTGAGGAATGGAGCTCGGGGTGGCAGCCTCACAGCTCTTCTCCAGGGAAGAGAATGTGATGGCCGGGGGTGCAAAGGCATCCTGTTCTGAGCCAGTGAAGCTCGCCGTGCCCCGGGTTATGGTCCTGCAACATGCAGTGTAGTAGCTGAAAGGGCTGTAGGATGTTAAAAAATTACTGCACTCCATGGTGCTTGATGCCACGTGATAAAAGGTCTGCTCCTTGAGGTAGAAGGAATCCAGAGCGGCTGCCATGTCAAAGAAGCTGCACTGTGGCACGCTCACCGAGCTCGGCTTGGTGCTACCCGCTGTCTGGTTGACACACAGCTCACAGACGTTGTGGGTCTTGGAGAAGGCTGGCCCCTGTGGCAGCACCACTGTGTTGCAGCAGGGGGACACTGCCACCAGCCGAGCATCAGGCAGTGGGACCAGTGGCTCTGGTGCCAGGGACTGGAACACAGGTGCCTCAACCCGCCGCAGGTGCTGGAGGAGGCGCTCCACCACCTGGTCCCTATGACAGTTGTTGTACTCCAAGGCCACTTGGGTGATCTGAAAGACAGGGCAGGACTGGTGAGAGGGCACAGGAATGACTGAAATGCTGAATGCTGGCTGTGCTGCCTGGATGGCATCCCTGAGTCACAGGTAGGAGCCCAGGCCAGAACTCCCTCAAAAGGGAGATGGTCATACCTACTTGTTAATATAGAGGTCTGGGGTATTTTTTACAACATGCCTTTCTATCAGCAAGCAATGAACTAAGAAGAGAGGGTTCCAGAGATGTCTGCTGACCATAGAAGAATGAAACCCGGCAGGCAAAGCTGTTCAGCTCAGGACTATATCCAGACTATGAGAAGAATCAGAACAGAACTTAACCCTCTTGTCTTGTCTCTTTACACTTTACACCTTACAACTCATCTACACTGCTGCTTTTTCTCATCTTTAGTAAGTAGGAAAATTTCCCAAATACCCAATGTGTAGAATTAGCATTTAATAGCATACACATTTCCAAATATGTTCACACTTTCTAAGAGACCATTGATCCAGCCTGCTCCCAACTTTCCTCACCCATTTCCTTCCTAGACCATCTCTTCCTCTCCCTACACCATCTTTACTGGGAACGAGCATCATCAAACTACAAACCAGCTCGTCCTCCATTTCTCCTCAGGCACTGCCTCAGATCACTTTTTTCATCCTACCACAACTAAACCTCCATACTGCCACTTCTTTTCAAAGAATAATCCTAAGCATGACAGACACTCCATGAACAAAAGACATCTGATGGCTTCCTGTTACCTACAGGATGAAATCTATTCATACTCTGGCATGAATATTCTCCATATTCATATTCTCCTCATTTGTCTTTCCAATCTCATGCTACCCACACCAGACCAGGCCCTCTTACAAAGGCCTGGCGAGGGACACCATCTCCTCCTCTAGCTGTTCCCAAGACCCTGAAGCTAGGAGGCTGCTTCAGTCAAAGCAAACCCACCCTGCCCTCTGGATGAACTGGTTTCTGCACTTCAAGTCTCAGACACTTCTACAGTCTTGCAAGCTTTGGTTAGACCATCCTTTTTCCTCACAGGATCCTTACTGACAGGACCATGTTTGGGCATGTGTGAATACATGACATTTCAGGTAGTGTGCACAATCCCCCTTAATTACATTACTCTCAAGTTCAAGGTCATCCTCAGTTACATAGTGAGTTCAAAGTCAGCCTGGGATACATAAGACTCAGTCTCAAAAAAAAACCACAAAATCAAACAAACAAAAAAGTGTATGTAGGTATATACGAGATATTTAATGAATAAATTTTCAATTTAGACAAATTCTATAACAGTATTTATGGAGGATTAATTCAAAACATATGCATTTACAGGAAACTGTTTAACTAGTTCTTGGAACAGAAAGTCACTTTAGCCGGGCATGGTGGTGCACACCTTTAATCCTAGCATTCAGGAGGCAGAGGCAGGCAGATCCTCTGTGAGTTCAAGGTCAGCATGGTCTACAGAGTGAGTTGCAGGCAGCCGGAGCTACAGGGAGACCCTGTCTCAAAAAGACAAAAAAAAAGTCACTTTACATAAGCCAGTGCTATAAATTCATTTTCCTTGGGGGCTGGAGAGCTGGCTTAGCAGTTAAGAGCACTGGCTGCTCTTGCAGAGGACCCAGGTTTGACTCCTAACACCTACATGGTGGCTAACAACCATCTATAATTCCAGTTCCAGGAGATCCAATGTCCTCTTCTGACCTCCTTGAGCACTGCACGACACAGGTGCACCTACCTACATGTAGGCAATACACTCATACACATTAAATAAAAATAATAAATTGAAAAATTTTAAATAGCATGGTGGCGCACACCTTTCATCCCAGCACTTGGGAGGCAGAGGCAGGCAGATCTCTGTGAGTTCAAAGCCAGCCTGGCAGCCTGGTCTACATAGTGAGTTCCAGGACAGCTGGGGCTACAGGGAGACCCTGTCTCAAAAAGACCAAAATAAATAAATAAATAAATAAATAAAAAGAAAAAAAGTATTTAAAATACTGTACTTATTATTTTTATTTTAGAGTGTGTATATGCGTATTGCTTACATGTATGTAGTAAGTGCACCTGTGTCGTGCAATGCCCGCGGAGGACAGAAGAGGTTGTCAAATCCCCTGGAACTGGAGTTATAGACTGTTAGCTGCCATGTGGGTGCTGGGATTCGAACCCAGGTCTTCTGCAAGAACAACCAGTGTTCTTAACCGCTGAGCCATCTCTCCAGCCCCAAGAAAATACATATTTTTAAAAATTATTTCCCCCCAAGTGCCGGGCGTGGTGGCGCATGCCTTTAATCCCAGCACTCAGGAGGCAGAGGCAGACGGATCTCTGTGAGTTCAAGGCCAGCCTGGTCTACATAGTGAGTTCCAGGACAGCTGGGGCTACAGGGAGACCCTGTCTCAAAAAGACCAAAAAAAAAAAAAAAAATTTCCCCCCATACAAACATCTTCATCCTTTCTGCACAAGGCTCGATGGCATACTGTGCCAGCAAGCCAGACCTAAATGACCAACAAAAAGTCCTGGGACTGATTCACATTCAATGATACAGTAAGGTAGCTATTTCCCTTGACCCCTAAACATCCCATAAAACTTCAAGATTCACTATTGTATGTCATAAAAAGTTGACAAGAGGAGAATACTAGAGCACTTTCTTCATCCCTCTCATTCCTATTATCTCATACAACAGCCCTGTAAAGACTACCTTCTAGGGAAGGGGGATGGCAGGGGGAGGGGGAACTACAAGGCAATGTTCTTGAGGATGTAGCCTCTTAGCTTTTTTTTTGAGACAGGGTCTTTTTGTAACCTTAGCTGGCCTGGAACTCAATATGCAGACCAGGCTGGCCTTGACTTGATCTCACAGAGAGCTGCATACTTCTGCCTCCCAAGTGCTAGGATTAAAGGCATGCGCCACCATGCCTGGGTCTCTTACCTCTCTTGAAAACAAAATCTATACTACATCCTGTTACATGTTTCATCAATGTCATATTTAGTGTAAATAAGAATAACGTGGCAAGTAATTACAAGTGTCTGTGCTGTCAACACCTCTGTTTTTCTGTTTTCTTCCATAAATCTGAATTTGATGACCATGTCTCTGCTTACTAGGCTCATACACTGTGAATGACTCAAATACTTAGAGTGAAAGACAAGTCAAAAGGACTCTGGAGGCCGAAACAAGCATTCCCTTTGCTTAACATGCTGCATAATACACAATGTGATATCTCAAGAACTCTCTAAGGACACTAGGAATCAGTGTCTGACACTGGTGGTCAGGATCTGTTTCTCCGTGTGAACACATGCAAGTGTGGGGTGTGTGTACAGGAAGCACATGTATAAGGGCAGCTACCCACTCCTGGGCTTCGCGGAGCCACCACCTGGTCACTTCTAATCGACACACAGCCTACAACTGTCACAAGCACCCCTGCCTGGCATGCCCAATCACTACCTCACTCTGAGATGGCTGCTCTTTTTCAACAAAGTAAGCTTTCTCAACCTTCTGCCCTGACTTAGGCCCACAATGACAATGAAAAAAAAAAAAGCTGTCTTGAACTCTCTACTAAGCTAACAGATCTCATTATCTTTTCCACCTCATTCAGGGCCCAGCCTCTAGTCACTGCTACTGCTGCCCATCACAGAAGTACCTGCGATCACCCCCATTTACACTCACTCAACTCATACTAAATCTCACTCATCTAGAACCCCGCTGTTGGCAAAACTGCCCCTCTAGTCACATCTCCTCAAATGTCAGGGACAATCCTGACTCCTCAGAGAAGCACCCCAGACCTCTCTGCAAGGTTCATTCAGGGTCCTCCTACGAAGCCCTTCCTGCCCTCCACAGTGGTGTCCCATACACGAACTTGCTATAATTCCTGCACACATCCACACCCACCTCGGCCACAGCTCTTCTTCCCTTAGTTCCCCTTAATTCATCTAAATCTGGCTTCCTCTCAACAGTCATCTCAAACACTACCCTCAAGCCTCTCTTCCCCTGTCCTGCTGGGTCCTAGCTTTCTGAGATGTCACCTCCCTCTTTTAATGCTTGACCCTGGATTGACTGGGGACTGGGGGCTGATCGTCCTCTGCTTAAGTTATAAACTGGCTCTTGTTCCCAGCTGGACCAGAGGCCTGAGACTACCACACATTTTCTTTCCCATGAGCTCCCAGCACAGCATTCAATGAACACTGACCACACTGACTGGACATGTGGAGGGAAAATGCTATAGATGCTGCTCACCTCCAGGATGCACAATACTACCAGGGGCCATTTCAACCACATATGGCGGGTTGGTTGAGCATCACTACCTACCTCAGAGGACCCTGGGAATGCTGGGAAAGGAGCCACATGTGAAACTGTCAGTAGGTGCTAGATTGGAGGCATAATTTAGGGAGATGCTCATCCAGGACCAACAGGCTTGGAAGCACGAGTCCTCCCTCTTTGAGTCAAACTCAACTCTAGCCCTCTGGAGTAAGTATGGACTTCTGCCAACAACAACCCTCCACCCTGCTCACCCAAGCCAGGCAAGACAATGTTCAGGAAGTAAAAGTAAAAACCCAGAGCCACAGCCTCCAGCTTGGCTGAAATCCTGCCTTTCCCTCAAAGACCTTGAAGGCTCTTAATCTAGATGGGGGTAGAGAGACCTGGTCATGGGAAAGAGCGTCTTAATTCATAAACCAACCATGCAGTACAGATCTTCCAAAGAAATGGGTTTTTTGTTGTTGTTGTTTTGTTTTTGTCTTTTTGAAGCAGGGTCTCCCTGTAGTCCCAGCTGTCCTGGAACTATGTCGACCAGGCTGGCCTTGAACTCACAGAGATCCGCCTGCCTCTGCTTCCCAAGTGCTGGGACTACAGGCATGTGCCACCACGCCCACCTAGAAATGAAGTTTTAAGACTTCCAGTCCCTCCTACCAGAGGTAAAGGAACCAGAACTACTCCATTTTTCTCTCCTTTCTTCTTTTTTTAAA